TAAAATACCTCATCTGACCGGATCTTTTCTGTGTTTTTCCAGCTCAGTGGCATACAAAGTCCTTAGTTAGAAATTCGAGTAGTTATTCTATAACATTTTGTTTCGCCGCGCGCATCTATAAGTTGACCTTTGTTGACCTTTGATGGTTGCCTGCGTGGTCTCCTTTAATGTGACTGGCGGGCAGTCACGCTAGTTAATGAGTTGCACCAAACCATCCCAAAACATCAAGGGAAACTCCAGAGTACTGTGTGTAGATGCAAAATTTGCCATGGAAGCCTACAACCGTGGCGTTGTAGCCGAACTGCCCAGCCTAATACCAACGAAGTTCTCAAGGAGGTGTCAAATTGATGACATGCCGGGTGCTGAAAATTTGGCGACCCGCCGAGCGAGGGCCGGAAGTTAACCCTGATGCTCAGAGTGGGATATTCTCACCCACGCCCCAGGTGACAGCGCGTTAAGCTTGAGACACCCGAGCAGGGCAAACTCCACTAAGTTGAACTTTCGGGGCACTTATCGGGCTATCCTTTACCCCGCATTTAGGAGGCAGAGGGCAGGGACGGTGGCCTAGGATAAACAGGATTTGGAGCGTTCTAAGTTCTATAGAAATTTGTACCCCATAATCAGGTCATATCACCTTGTGTGTTTGTTTATTTTGTTTGAACATTTTGTTTGTCATACCGGTATTTTCGTGAACGACATAGCCTTTCGTTGATGCTCTACGATAAGTCTTGGGCCTGGAAGAATGCGAGTTTTCGGAATGATTTAGCCTTGAGGTGTATGTCTGATGGATTGTTTGTTCGATGTGTGGTTAAGTGTTGCAGCATTTTGCTGACCACCGCTGCTCTGTTTGTGTGGATAAAGGTTTCACCCCTTACCTGACACGCAAACTGTTCGAATGAGCGCCACGCTGTGGTAGTCGCAGCACAGTTTGTTCTCTCAACACGAATAGGAACAGTGTTCAAACACATGATTCAATATTGAAAAGTTACGTGCCTTTGGAACTGTCTGAATGTGGAAATGGCTGTTTCATAAATTGCCTCGTTTAACAGTGAATGTGCGTTAAGCGATCCAAGCAGTGCTTTACGTTGCCATCTTTCCACACGAATTAACGCTCCGTGTGACTCATTTACGAATGACAATTGGAATCTGTTACCGACTTGATTCATTGTCGAAGTAGGGTATGAAGACGCGGCCGCATGTGCCACGAAAGCTAAGTCAGGATTGCTATTGATTTTGGGTCGTCCCATACACAACCATAAATTTACCTCACCCATGAATATCCATTGTAATCATGACATACTTAAATCAGATGATGGGCATCGGTATTTGTTCCGCACGTCCCTCATAAGCATCATTTACAAATGCAACATTTTTCGTGAGCCACTGTGTCTTTGCCGGCGTCACAGCTTCGTTTCCGAGCATTTTGAATCCATGTTTGCGTTGACTACCAATTGAGTGCCTCTCTGACCTTACAAACACGAATGCACATGAAAATCTTTTGTGTGTTGTTTTGGTCCGTTTAATGTTAAAACGGACGTTGGTGGGGTTTTGAATAAGTATAAACGGTGGATTAAATTATCTGTAATATGCCGTGGCCGTATTAGTATGCACCATAATTCCCAGAGCTCTTTTTTCGTTTTCATCAACTTTAGCCTGTGGCACATTTAATGCTGTCATGCCACTTCATTTTCATCTTATATGCAGGTGGCTAGTCGTACAGTATAACTGCAGCAAAAACGCGCAATGCAGTGCAAATTTGCATGCATGAAAATCCAAGGCATTGAGCCGAGATAATATGTCGTTCGTCGTTACCATAACATCAGGCCCCGTGTGCAGCGTACTCAAAACGAATGGCGTTAACGTTCTTGAATGTATGCATTCCAGTCGAAGGGACTGAGTACTGCTTATCAGCAACAAAGACGGGTCGCATCCGTTGGGAATTAGCGTACGTTGCCACCCTTCTTTTCCCCCAACCGAGAGTAACCGCATGAATGCTAAGCTCCCTACAATAGTACACGCCCCAGGCATAGCTAGTCGCCTGCTGGCAGCCGCTGTGGAGGTTGGGGACATGTGATGTACATTTTTCGAAGTAGCCTTTTGTCCGCCTACATTATCAAAAAAAGACACGTCTTGATCTAAGTCCTCGTAACTTCACTGTTTTTGGTGAAATTGATCATCAACCCCGATATCCCTCCCCAATACCTAAGACATGGCAGTGTTATCACCAAACTGAACTAAAGTCAATGATGCAAGGCCCAATATGTACGGCGACAGCAAGGTTAACACAATGGTGTCTATATCATTAGGATGGTGATCATGATCACGTTCTTGATTTCGTATATTCCTTGGTCATTGCCGAACATGTTACATGAAAGCGTACACGAAAGCAAGCAAAATGCACCAGCACATTTATTCGGGCTCATTTTGCCGTATGGCTTGAATGGCAGTGCGCGCATCCCTCAGCCCAGCACAAATTCGGTCTGCCGAAAGGCATCATCCATACGATGGTGTTGTAAACAAACCATAGAGCGGCGAACTTCGTCACGAAGAACAAGGTTTCACGCGGCCCATCGATGCTGAAGTCAACCAGCGTGTACCTAGGCACCTCAGTTCGATGATGATGATGATGATTTGGGCTTTAGGGCGCGCCGACCACGTTGGTCATATGGCGCCATAACATACTTTTATCCAACAGATGCGTAAAAAAGCGAGGAAATAAGGTTACGCCCGATATACGGCATGCAATAATATATCTTCAAGAGGGCACCCCAGTTCAATGGCACCACTGTGAACTGTGCGTACCGTCCTAAGCGCTGCTGCTACATGTACTACATATAACCTTCACCCTCTCCAGTTGGAGGAAACGGGCGTGGGCTTACAGCTAATCCTTGCACTGCTTTTCCGGGTACGAGGAAAAACGGCAGCAATTGAGTCATATTCGGCATTGCTTACTATACACATGAGCATGCTGCGTAAACAGTTTACCCCCTTCAGGTCGGGCCACTGACCTGCAGCGCATATCAAAACCCTTCCAGCGCTGTTCGGCTTTCTTTGCGCCATGAGTGATGTTTGAGGAACGTGTGTACGGAGGATGTGTGTGTGTGTGTGTGTGTGTGTGTGTGGTGTGTGTGTGTGTGTGTGTGTGTGGTGTGTGTGTGTGTGTGCGTGTGCGTGTGCGTGTGCGTGTGTGGTGTGTGCGTGTGTGCGTGTGTGTGCGTGTGTGCGTGTGTGCGTGTGTGCGTGTGCGCGTGTGCGCGTGTGTGCGTGGGTGCGCGGGTGCGTGCGTGCGTGCGTGCGTGCGAGCGCGCGCGCGTGAGTGTGTGTGTGTATGTGTGAAATTATTCCACGTAGAACTATGGTGCTTATAAGCAAAGTCTTTTCCCCAGGCCGATTATCTTTGAGATTCAAACAACACTATCTACTGATGACACCTTTGGTATACCTTAGATCGTCTCTAGGCGAAAGTTGCACGAGCATTTTAATTTAGACCGCCGAGACTATTTCGTTCCAAAATTGCCCTTTCTGCTGCAAAAACCGTATGTTGCCAAATTTTTGTTCTAAGACTTCAAGTTAAGCATGCACGAGACCAACAAGTGAGCCTAATGGGCCAAAGTAGATGGATCAGATGACAAAGTATAAGGCGATCGGTTGGTGTTTGTCGCGTATTTCAAGTTCGGTGCTTTGGATCAAAAACTGATTGCTGTGGTGTCTGTAACGACCTATGATGAAAGCGGTGTTGACCTCAGGCAAATCTGATTTATCTATTTTCCAACCGTGCTGTTGAATTTGGAATATGCCCATTTGATAAAAAAGCTTCTTAAGCTCCTGGTGTTTTAGACATTTCCATTTTAAACATGTGGTATTGTTGATGGCATCCAATTCGATGTTTTAACGCAACGGCGAGGAGACGCATCGAATGCCTTCAAATGAACGTAGGCGTCTTGACACAAGACTTTGAAAGTATACGATGTTGTCATCATGCGGTCTGCCCCTAGACCGGCCACTATTGGTGCTGCACGCGGGTCCGTCCAGGTGGTAGACCTATCCTACTGCCAATCCAGGAAATCTAATAGTGAAATCGGACCGACCCAACAAATCATGTGAACAAGCTCAAACACTCGTACTCTGCTATTTATCATGAGAAAACCGAACAGATCATGTGACCAAACTTAACCACTCGTACTCTGTCTTGTATGCATTTTAGTATGTGACTGCAAAGCTTTAAGCTGCTTTGAAATAGGGCTGTTACCCTGCGGCCAGTACAATGGAACAAATGAGCCGCTAACTGGCCAGACACATCTCCAACGCAGCCAGCTAATGCAATTATCGTGCGCCCGCGCGCGGACCGCGGGGCCATTATCGTCCCGCGGGAACTCACCGCTCATGAATTGCGACTGTTTGAACGGCGCGCGGCGGCCGAATGGGACGCGCGGCGCTGATCTGGCCCGACCGCCATTGGAGCCGCGCCACGGCCGCCGGCCGATTGAGATGTAACTGGATTTAAAGACACCATGAAAGACGGGCCCTCCGGTCGGGCCCGGCACAATGGCGGCTCTGTTTGCCGGGCTCCCGGCCGGCGGCCGGTAGCCCGCGGCTCTGCAGTCGGCGCCGTCGGCCATGTGACGCGATTGGCGGCAGAGGCAGAAGCGCTCCGGGCCCGCCTGCTGACGTCATCACCATTGTAGCGTTGTCGGGTGTCACGCCCCTCGGCAGCATGGCCTGCTGGGTCTGACGTCAAACATGGCTGCGCACACCAGGACACATGCGAGTTGCTGGTCACGGGTTCTGATGAGGGGTGGCTATTGTCAGGGGCGAGGGGCATGCAGCACCCCAATTAAAAAAAACGGCAGCAAAGAAAAAAAACAGTAGCGTTACACCCATGGCTGTTATTACGAGTGTGACGTGGTGCAAACCAAGACACGACTATCTGAAATGCTATTTTTTTGGAGCCTTGTACGGGAGTACCTTTCAAATGTGCTGAAGCTCATTGGGGCCCAGAGATGGATGTGAATAACCGGAGTATGTTCCTGGCGTTAACTGCGGCTTTGTTTTCACACCGATGCACGTTTGATGGGCCGATCGGTGTTGTACCCATCCGTCAATCCATCAACTGGTCCTGGAGGCACGATATCATTGCTCCATTGACATCCTCTGGTCGGGCACCCATCATGCTCTTCGAATCATCGCACTTATTCTAACCGTAATAAACAGCCAGAGGGCATTCATTACTCTGCGCTGAGACCAACTCATATAGCACTGGTTGGTTTCACGATAAAGTGTAAGGAGACCTTTGCCGATGCGTTTGCCTTTGCTGAATGTCAGGCTTGAAAATCCGTTCCGTGCTGTCGGTTTAGGCAAGAAGTTAGATGCCAGCGATGGATAACGGAAGAGCGCAGGTGTTTGGTGACATTTATGTGCGTCTTATGACGAGACATTCCAGTTGTTGCAGGGCAAATTGTCATACAGTTATTTTCCTTCAATCATTTTTATTCCCGAATTTCCCACATATGCTCGGAAATATGTCATTGCTTCTGTGCCAAAAGATTACACCTTAGCACCCTGTTTTTAAGTTCATGGGTCGTAACTGAAATACGAGCCGTTTTGCTTGCCCGCTGCGATAGACCACGTGACTCGTTAAGTAATCGCAATAGACGAGGCACGACCTCTTCCATTTTGGAAAAGCGTCAGTGATAGCTGCACGTAGCCATCGGAGATACTGACGGTCCTCGTCATTGCAGGGGAACCGGCAGAGCCGTCGGACGACCTCAGCTCCTCCAAGAGGATCCGCACCGCCTTCACCAGCCACCAGCTGCTGCAGCTGGAGCGCGAGTTCCGCGCCAACATGTACCTGTCGCGCCTGCGCCGCATCGAGATCGCCTCCTACCTGAGCCTCTCTGAAAAGCAGGTCAAGATCTGGTTCCAGAACCGCCGGGTCAAGTACAAAAAGGAGGATGTGAGCAGCGGCGTCCGCTGCCCCTGCTCGCAGCACGCGCCGAGATCGGCGCCCAGCTTCCGCCAGGAGACAGCGCCCCGCTCGCCGCTCGGGTCGGAAAGAGGACACCACTGCGCCGCCGAGTGGTCGGCTGGCCGGCCGCCGTCAACGGACGGTGGTAGTCCGCGAGACACGCTGGCGCCGTTGGTGGGAAGTGAGCCTGAGGGCATGTCGGCTGTGACCGCGCCAGAGGGCGGTGCGTCACCGGGTACGGTTCCTGGTCACCATGACACGGATCTCGAATGGTCCGCACTTCAGCCAGTGACGGATCCACCCGGCGGTGCTGGAAACCATTGACTGGTGCACAAAGGGTGTCCCAAGCACAGGATGCTGCTTGGGACACCCTTTGCATGGGCAGATGCTGTGACAGGATTTTATGCGGTCAGCTATTTTACATATGTAAATGTGAATGTCAGTTCCACCAGGGCACCGCGTCATTCTAATAACGTGCCTCATGCTCGCACTTTGTTCTGCGTGACTTCGCCAACCTGATCTCGTCAAGAGCACTTGCCCCTTGTTTAAAATTGTATGCCATCACCTTCAAAATGTTATCTCACATATACGCTGTTCTCAGATTTGCGATAAGGTCTGTGAACAAATGCGTTTTACAACACCCGACCAGATTGAACGGGGATGCCATTCTCTAGTGTTCGCCCTCTCACGACTTCTTCGGTATGAAGCCTGAGCGGTTAATTTAACTCATTGCTCCGTATCAGTCACCCATGATTCTTTCGCAATGCGTGCTGATCGTTAATTATGAGACGCGCTTTTTATTACGGCTGCATGTTAAACTGATGGTACACAATCTTCCCCGTGATCTTTGGGATCACAGGGTATGATTTGTCCTCAGAAGGGCATGCGTTGTGTCTACGGAATAAAGGCGTACTTGCGTATGCACATGCATACAAAGCACGATACAAACTGCTATGTCTGCAGAAAGTAGGCCAGATTGTGGGAAGACTTCGGGAAGGCTCCGGTATGAGTCAAAAGCTTGGACAGGTATCATTTCCTATTTATATGCAGTTTTGAGGAGAGCTTTTGTACTTATATAGCTGATGCAAATGGATTTAAGTGAGGAGTTTCCAACACTATCGGAATACAGTAAGATAAAAGTTTATGCCTATCCTTGATTTTAGTCTTGCCACGTAAAACGCGGCAAAACACGCGCAATAGCAGTCAAAACACTGGCGCCCTGGATCTTGGAAATAATCTTGGTACCGCCGCCACCAGCAGTTGGGTGGGGCGCCAACAACCTTGAGCGGATTCTGTTTCCGAGTGCTGCAGGTAAGGAGTTGCAGATGCTTTGGTTTGAACGTTCCATTCCTTCCTTGATTCAGTTAGAATTTTGGTGTCGGTATTTGCTCCCCTTCCAGTAAACTACGCATATCTGTACCAGACTAGTATCAAAGTCAGGAGAGGTCGCGCGTGCCTTAATGCCACGTCATCAAGTTGAATGCATATGTTCACCTTCTGATATTTGTTTTTATGCTCCCCTGCTGAGTGGATGGAAGAAGTGAATTTGATATGCAATATTAAATGTCAAAGTGCTTGGGGATCTATCCGTGAATCTGACCATGTAGTTTAGCCAACAACCTTTAAATCAGGTGTGTATCTTTGTGTAATGAGTTCAGGACTGATCTGTGAAAAACAACCAAGTCTCCCCTCAAAATTTACATCATCAGAGCTTATTCCCAAATCAAAACCCACGGTGGAACGGACTCCCCCCCTCTGGATATACTACACCCCTGCTTTAAACTTCCAGGTTCTGGCATCAGTTGTGAACTTGTATGATCACTTACTGGTATTTGTTTTTATGCTCCCCTGCCAAGTTTAACTGAGAAGTGAGTGTATTATGCAACAT